CCTTTATCTATTTCGCCACAAATAATTTTATTTTATTAGCATATAAATAATTTACAAAATTATTCCCTGTAATTTTATTTTATTCCCTAATGTCGAATTTTTGGACATTTATTAGGATTAAAAATCGGTCATATTTTACTGCTCTCGTCGTCTCTGCGCCCTATTTCGAACTTTAGTACCCGTACACATGTCTCGGTAGAGAAAAGGTAAAGAAAAATTCGCGAATCATTAGTCTATTTTAGTAAGCGTGCTGCACCGAGGCAAAGAAGCGACATAAAAATTGCATTCACCGGCTGGAGAGGTCTCCGGAAGAGGGAAAGAAAAGCCGGTGCAAGGCCGCGAGAAGATTTCAGCATCGGACCGAATTGTTCTAGCGTAATTCGCTGTCGGTTGAAACAGACGTTACTGCAGCAGTAGCATCCCCTCGGTGTTCCCGGCTGGCAAAAATTTATGAAGCTTATCGCGGGGTTGACGAGGAACCGTGCGAGGTGCATTTAACGTTGCTCCGCTCCGCGTCGAGCATCGTAGGATTACGCTGCCTTTGCGGCGACGCAGCGTCGTTAATAGCATACTTAACGCTGAAGTATTAAGTTTAATTACAGCGAATACTCGATAATTTGTCTTCGCCCGTCTGCCACTCGCCCCGGCAATTGCGCGCCTTGCAATTACTTTTCCAGACGCTCTTTAGTTAAGTACCATTCTCATTTTCCTTTTTCTTTCCCTCTCTTCTTCCCTCCGCCGCCCTCTCTTCGGTGTAAATAATCTTCACGCGTGGAATTGGCCTCGTCAAGAGGCGAATTTCTCTACCTCGTCGACTATCTCTCCACGATGATTTATCGCGGTGGATATTTCGCGTTAAAGTGGATACGGCATGTGCAACGGAATAATTAAAAACCGAGTTTCGCGGTTCACTCGGTGAACTAATGTGAATTCCTTTTGAGTATCGTTCCTCTCCTTCTTTTTATATTTCGCGCCTTTGGCGCTGACCGAAGACGTTGGGGAAAAGAGAAGCCTCGAGGTATACTTGATGTATCATAGTTCCAAGTGTCGTCAAAATTGTTAGCAAAATTGTTATCAAAATTTAACTTCGAACGATAAATTGGAGAATTTAAAGAAAAATACATGGATCAACTTTGAAAATTATATTAACGATGTTTATTTAAACTGGTACAGAAAATTCGTAATGGAACATATTGTGAGGGGAGGAAAAGAAAGGGATAAGTTAACCCTTTGCTGTTTTAATCAAAATTTTTAATTGTTTAATGGGACAGTTTTTATTTCAAAGTATCTTCTAATTAGAGGTTATATTGGAAATGCATTAACTGTTTCATTCAATGCAGTTCAATGCAGTTCAAGTAGTTCAAGCGCTCCGGTCACCAATGACCACCGTGACCAAAGTGTTAAAATGAGTTTAACTTTCAGTGGTTGATTTGACTTTATTCTTTTGGATACGATACACACAACTGCCCTTTTAAAGGTGGGCGACGTGCCACGGACGTCGTAATGCTTTTGTCGCAGAATCGTCAACAACGTGGTATACACGTCGTCAGGTAATTATCACAGAAACACTGGACCGTTCTGGCACAGGTATCTGCGAATTTCTTGCCAGCGCAAGTGATTAAAGGTGGGCCCTCTTTGTTAATTCACCGCGAAAATCAAGAGGATCTCCCCTTCGATTTCTCACGCCGCCATATTGGTAATCGAAACTCGCATACTCTTACATGCTCTTACAATATTCTTTCAATATTCGAATATAATTTCGTAAAATTACAAAATTTCTGAGTCTTTTAGGAACGGTTCGTAGATCACGTAGACACTGGGACAGATTTACTAGGAAATTATTCGTTGGCATGTAACGCAGGTGGTGGAAATTCGACTAACTGTGAACGTGTTGATTAATTATTTAGCAGCGTATTTAAGTACTCGGTTGAAAGTTAATGACGAGATCAACGTGGGACAATGGACTAACGAATGAGCCAGAATGCGAGCTTTTTCTGCGACTCATTATGCCAGCCGCGTCTGCAGTGCAGGGAACAGAGGCTGCAGGAAGCATCTCAATTCGAACTAGACCCAAGTGTTTTTCTTTACGACTAACTTCTAATTAATGCGAATTAACACTTTCGCAAGGAACTTACAACTGTGTTATTCTCTTCTGTCCGGGACACGGGAGCATCGTTGGAAACTCATTTCTATCTTACTTTATTCCAGCCACCAAGTTTAAAATGTCGCCAGAATTTTCTCTATCTTCCTAATCATATTATGTAATATTTTTTAATTATTGTAACGAAT